TAGTTCTTACTAGATATAGGGTAGGCTGGTATATAAAAGAGGGGAATGTAATGCGTGTGGGTAGATAGTGAGTAATTGAACTGCAGTTAGAGAGCACGAGAGACGTTACAGCGTTTGTTTAGCGCGATTGTTGAACTTGAGTGTATCGGTAAAGTTGTATTCGGAAAGAATAAACCAGTTTTATTAAGTAAAGAATTTGTGTCGCTAAAGTTTCGTCGGAACGAAGTTACGGAAAGTTAATTAACAAACGAGACGTAACAGTATAGTATTTCTACATAGTCTTGGTAGAATTTGAAGTCATAACTTCAGGATGTAGAAAATATTTCCAATTAAAGTAAACACAATGTGAATCACAGTACAGTAGGCTAACAACTGAAGTTTACCAGTGTAAAATAATGAAAACAAAGCCACAGCAGCACCTTTAAGTTATAATGAGTGCTTGTATTTGGAGATATTAAAATTTTGAGTTACAAGAGCTTTTTTGATGAGAAGATGCCAAATAACAAAACTTTTCCTGTAAAAATATTCTTTCTACTTGATGATATTTATTATTTGTATAATTGATTATTTATAGTTTTCCTTAAAAAAGGAGGGGTCTTAGTTTTAGGATTTAAAAATCAAGTCAGCTTTTAATAAATAAATCCATTTTTAGATTCATTCATAGCTTGAAAGGAGAGTATTCTTATATAAAGATTTTTCATACAGTTATTATTATGTTAATATCTGTTTCTTGCAATCTGAATTTTTAATAAACTGATACCAAACCTGTGTTTTATAGTGGTTTGATTTGTTGCCATTGGAAACAATGATCCTGATTAACCTTCTCTTACTAGCTACTAATGAAAGTGTTTGATGTAGTGGTATTGAGAATCATCTTATTCATTGAAATTTGAAGCAAGTAGAATGCACTGTAAAAACGTTGTCCAATACTAATAATGGCTGGAGACGGCTTAAATGGGTAATGAAGAAAAACTTTAATATAAGTTTAACATGACAGCAAATGTCATTTAAGCCGTCTCCAGCCATTATTAGTCTCAAAGTGGGTTCCTCGTCATCGAAGTTGTCCAATACTGTCATGTGAAAATGCAGTACCAGCAATCAAAGAATTCGGAAGCAATAGTTAAGTGAGTATACACTTGTTTGACCTAAATTAATTTCCAGTCAGAACAAGATATCTACTTAGATGAATAATCAAATCAAGTCTGGTAATGAGCAGTTAATTGAGTGTACTGTTCTCATGTATAAAAATTAAAATGCATTGTTTCATCAGCTAGGTACCCTCAATGTTAAAATATTCTCGATAGTAAACCCGAAAATGTATCATGAGGTTCGGCCAGTTTAGGAGACTTAGGTTAGTCCAAAACCTGTATACTGAGCTAACAGTACAAAATAATCTCTTTCATAAATAAATGAATATATATATATATATATATTGAACACTCCAACAAATACTAGTTAAAAAAGTAATATTAAAGATAATGAATAGAGTATACCTCACTTATGGAACACACAAGTACTAGTTGTCAGTTTCAAGTACTGTTGTAGATTTAATGTTCATTGAAACGACTATGTTTTTATAAATTCATACATATTTAAATAATTTAAAAACTCCTGTATTTTTTATTTCTGAATTTTAGTTTAATGATAAGCAGTGGTACTTGAATATTAATATCATTCCTTTTTTTTCACTTAAAGTACTCGTGTTTCAGTTAGTAGTGATTTGAGTAAAAAGGGATTGAAGCTGATTTTACTGTTTTCTATATAACCTTTTTTTGTGCTATATTTTTATTATTGGAACAGTTTTTTCTTTCTTTTTTTTAATATGGAACCTTTTTTGGCTTGTTTAGCCTGATATCATATGTTTTAAATTTGTGAGCTTGTAATTTTTTTCACATTACACACATATCAACAAGTACTAACATTTACTTTATTCTAAATGGCAGTTTAGCTCTGTATTGGTAAGCTACAACATTGGAATAATGTTTTTGGAAATGATTAACAATAAGAAAAAAATGTAGAAGTAATATAATCTTAGCTGTTGCTAAGAAATAGTGCAATTTAAGTAACTTGCTAACTGACATTAAGCTGATTACTGTAACATAAATGCAAATTGAAGTGATATTTAAGAAGATCAGCACTTTATATTTTTATCAAATCTTGTTTCACTGCTTTCTCAACTGGTATTAAACTGCAGTTTTTGCCATAAATGCACTGTAGGGCTATTGATAGATATTTTATAATTTTATATTCTGAGTAAAGAAACGAATAATCCACTATTCTTTGACAATTAAGCCAGTGTTATCTTCTAATGCTTGGGCTATTTTAAGTGATCATTAGAGTGAGGCAGTGTCACTAATCTCAGAAGGTGTCTCTGTATACAGATACCTTGTACAGGTAATACTAGAGTAAGTGATGCTAAATAAAAATAGAGCACATTTTAGTAGTTTATTTTACTGGAACATACTAGTGATGAATTAATCAAAATATCTAAAAATATTTGTAAGTTTTTGTGATGTTTCCTTGTGAACTTGGCATGTATAGGCAGGAGTGAGTGAGAAAACAATTTATGTTGAGCAATCAAAGTTCAAATAGGCAGCAACTGTGTAGTTCAGAGTGATGCTTGAGGATAAATTCTTGGCAGACTAATTTACAAAAGTAGCTCAGGAAGAGGACTAATTTACAAAAGTAGCTCAGGTAGAGGACTAATTTATAAAAGTAGCTAAGAGAAAGGACTAATTTACAAAAGTAGCTTAGAGAAAGGACTAATTTACAAAAGTGGCTAAGAGAAAGAATTCATTTACAAAAGTAGTTTAGGTAGAGGACTAATTTACAAAAGTAGCTAAGAGAAAGAATTAATTTACAAAAGTAGTTTAGGTAGAGGAACTAATTTACAAAAGTAGCTACTTTTGTAAATTAGTCCTCTACCTGAGCTACTTTTGTAAATTAGTTCTTTCTCTTAGCTACTTTTGTAAATTAGTTCTTTCTCTAAGCTACTTTTGTAAATTAGTTCTTTCTCTTGGCTCAGGTAGAGGATTCATTTACAAAAGTAGCTGTAGATCAGTCCTCCAAGACTTTCTTAACAAGTGTCACTCTGAACTAAGCAGTTGCTGCCTAATTTAACTTTGTTCATCATGAAGACTGCCTAAATCATCTATAAAAGAACAATTTGTGTTAATATGGAGTCTTATTTAAAAAATTTAGTCAAATCAAAAGTTAGGATAAACACTTTTTTAAAAGAGTGAACCAAGATTAGTGAACATCT